TTGGAATTAAAAACCCAAATTACTTTTTGTATATATAACAAAGCCAATAAAACTAATATAATTATTACATCAAACCCATCTCCCCACCTCAAAACCCATCTCTTCTTTAATGATCTCAAGATCCCGTGATTGAATTTTAGTGATTTTGGGTTCGATAGAATCGTCTTATCGTTCAGGTCCTATGTAACAACCGACACTTTTTTTGTTTACTTATTCGGGCATTTTACTATTAAAATCATATGATTTTAATAGTAAATTGCCCAGATAAGTAAATTTTGCAATTTATATTTTTGTTTTAACGTTTAAAGACTTTATAATTCACTGCATTTATTTAAATATTACAAATATATGAATTTATATAAATTTACTAGCAGAGAAAATCAATTAATTATTAAGTAAAAGATTCAAAGTAATGTTGAGTGGTTTGTCACTTTCGGGAAGTTGAATTATGATATTATTCGTAGCTTTCTTCAATGGCTTTTTCGGGCGATATTTGTATAGTTTAATTTTTTCAGGATCATTCATAGAAATTTTGAATAGTTTGAAAACTTTGGAATTTAAATTGTCAATGTATGGAACAGTACGTTTCTTCTTTTGTGGCATAACTTTTTTCATTTTGAGATCATTATTTTCTTGTAAAAAAAAAAAAAAAATTGTTATTATGTAAACTATTTATTTAAAATAAAATACTTTAAGTACCTTTTTGAATATAATTTTGTGAATTTAATACTTCAGTTAAATCTTGAGAATCTTGTAATACTTCAATTATTGAATCATAAAGATCTTCCATATCAGAATTTTGTGAATTTAATACATCGATATTTAAATTTGAAGCTAAAATAAATAAATTATTAGTATATCGATATGCATATATATATTTAAAATAGTTATTTAATATGTGTAACTTACATTCTAGTTGATTATTAAACTCATTTAAATCTTGTTCTTGTGATGTAAATGGAATTAATAATGCCATGGATACAAGTCTTTGATCATATAATGGATCACTATATGCACGAATTCCTTCTCGAGATCTATGACCGGAAAACAACATTGTCTCATCTTCAGGAACATTAGATCAATTAAGTATTGTGATTGCTATACGTCTTGCACTATGATTAGTAATTTTTTGTCCATCAGCAAGATTAATACCGGTATTAACTGCAATTTTGTTTAACATTTTTTTAAGTTTTTTTTCTCCCATTTTGGATGGCTTGTACATCAATTTCTTTTTTAATTCTATTATAATACGTATAACAATAATAAAAGTAAATAAATACCATATGTTAGTACATATGTACGTACATAATTATTAAATTATATACCTGATTGTTTTCTAATACATCCTAAAAATAGTGCATTAGTTGGTTTACATTCAGAAGAACGTTTTGATAAATAAAGTAATATGTGTAAATTGATTTGTAAGATTATCTGCTGGAATCGGAATAGATCAAGTGTTGGTACGACCATATCGTTGTCAGTAGAATACACCATCTTGATTGTTCTTTTCCTTCCGCAATCGCAATTGCAATCCACCATTAACTCGCTTTTCAATATCCCGAAATTGTAATTTATATGTGTCACCTCCTCGTAACCCACATAATAATGAAAGCCAAAAAAAAACTCAGCGAAGTAGACCTTCAATATTATTTATTGATAAATACTCATGATTCAAGCAAGAAATTATTTCATCAGGTGTTAGCAAATCACTTTTCTCTGTATCCCCATAACCTTCATCCTGTAACAATCTCATTTTGCCATCTAATACTCGAATTGCTCTTGAAAATGTATATTTATCCCAAATGTTAACATTACCCAGAATAGAAGAATTTTCACGCAAGTAATGTGCCAATGCAGCATAACAGTTGTGAATAGATTCGACTTTAAATGGTTTGCCATTAATTTTTGTAAGCCATGTGATAAACAAACTTAAAAATTCATCAAGTTCTTCTTTGTTGTCAATTTGATTAATTGACTTATTAATATTATTTTCTTGACGATATCTATCAACATGACGGAGCCATTTAGCTGTATTTTTTTCAGTGTTAGCAACATAAGATAAATTTTTTAAACGATCAGCTTCTTCGTGCAAATTTTTAGTAGTTATATTTTAAATTCAAATAAGAAAGAAATTAAAATAAAAAAAATTCTGATAAAATAGTTTAAATATCAAAACAAAAAGTTTATTTGACGTCAGTAACAGTTACATAGGACCTAAACGATAATATAGTTATTGTGCACTTCGTGCACGATAACTATAAATGATCGAGATAGTCATTTTGGCGGTAAAATTGTTCAAGACCGATCAGTGGGTCAAAAGTTATTAACCATCAAAGATGTTAAATTTTTAAATATATTGTCAAAATCAGCTGGTAGTAGGTCATTTCATAATTATGATTGCTGAATATAAATATCACATGTTTATATTGACGGCCGGCCAGCACAACCTCAATTGCTATTGTGATATTAGTTGCTATTTTCAAGAGCACCAATTTTAATACTTCATAAAACACAATTAAGGCCACGCGAAGTTAATTTTTCTTTTAAAATTACCCGCCGACCCATTTTTTCAATTTTTTCGATTTTTGCTACAGTCGTCCCTCATTTATATCAACCCATTTGGATTAGACAATTATAACAAAGCGATAGTTTTCATATTTCTTAAGAATATTTGTTCTTAATAAAAGGTCGATATTAACAAGTGGTTGATATTAAAGTGGTTGATATTAAAGTGGTTGATATTAACGAGGGATGACTGTATTTATTTTTTTCTGCCATTTATCCGGTATCACCCAGTGGAGACCTTGACATCCCGGAATTATCCGATAGGACCAACAGAAAAAAAAACCCCGATTGCTAACCCAATTTTCTAATTCCTTGTTATGCTATGCAAAAAAAAGATTAACTTTGCGTAGCCTTAAAAATATGAACATAATTCTATTGATTTAAAGTAGATTTTTTTTTTAAAAAAAAAAAAATCGCCCGACCGACCCAATTTTCAGATTCCATGTAATGTTAAACGAAAAATTAACTTTGCGTGGCCTAATCCTAATGTAAACTACGTTCTTCAAGTAAAATTCATCTCCGGCATCAGAATATTTTTCGACATTATAGAACTTTGCTTAAAACAGAGTGTTTATTAACATTAGATCAATCGATTAAATTGATATTTTCTATTTTAGTTTAATTTATTTTTTTTTAAAAAGAAAAAAATTAATGGATTAAAAAAATTATAATACAATGCAATGAATATTTATTTTATACTATATAATTTAAATACGCACTTGCAAACCTGAATGGCTTATTAATCAATAGGTGACTGACTAGATTAATGTGGAATAAAATTACAGCATAATAGAATTTCAAAATTAAGATTTGAGTAATCTATTTCACTATTTTTATTTTTAATCAAGTTTTGAATAACCATTATTTCGTAAAGCATGAGTTGCCAAACACACTCATTTTGTTTTCTTTTATTTGATGTTCATATTCTAAATTTATTTTTAAAGCTTTCTGCTAATACTTATTTTTGAAATATGTTAATCTTGAAAACATACTAATAGAGATTCATGAACTTAATAATTTATATTAATAATCAAACAATGAATAATCTTTATATCCGTCTTAAAGTATACTAATTAATACATTTGATATACTTATAAATGCAAAATTATGATGTAACATAATATTTACAATATATAATGTACTATCTATAGGTTCTTTTTTATTACAAAACAATAATATTGGATTATGATTCTCTATTCAAAATTTATCAGAAAATTATTCCAAAATTGTAGATGTGATTTAATATTATGTAATATCAAAGCATTGCAGTTTTATATAAGCCAACGTTCCCAAAACAGTTGAATTTTGTAGTCTAAATCTGTATTTTTGATTTTTCAATGTTTTTCTTAACAATACATAGCTTCTGTCTATCTATAAATTTTGCTTTTACATATTCTCACAGATTTCTATCATTAATTTCTACTTATTTGCATTAAATAAATAATTTCATTTAGTATTATTATTTGATACTTTCAAAAATATAAATTGCTTGTTTACCTTTAGTGACTCTATATTTGAAAAAGTGACTCTATATTTGAAAACCCTAAGTTTTGTTGTGAGATAGAAATTCAATATTATATAAAGAAGTAATTTAATTCAACTATTACATGGTAGAGACTGGACTCGAGTCAACTCGTAGCTTAAAAAACATAGTCTTAACTCGAATTAACTCGAGTCAAGACTATGTTTTTTTAAGCTGCGAGTTGAGCCCAGTCTATGTTTTTATACTATGAGTTGACTCGAGCCCAGTCTCTAATACGTGACACCTCGTTAATAAAATCTAAGAACTATTTCATTTAAACTCAATCGATTTACCATGATGCCCAATACGTAAAAAAACGTGGCATGAAAACATGGCTGCTAATCATATTTCTAAAAGTAGATAAATGTTCAATAATGATAACAAAATAGATCTCATCTCTTGACAACTATTTCCCAGTCGGTTAATGCCTATTTAAGCTAGAGTCAGTCTAATCTAAGTTTTGCATTGGTAGTTTGGGATGAATTCGGATTTAAAGAGGTATCACAAGGAATTGGAGAGATCTGAAAGTAGTAGAATCGCAGGAATACCTATCCTCTTCGCTTTATTTTTGCAAAATTCTCCTGATATATAAATTCCGCTCCCATGTGCAGTAACGCATGGCATTTTACCTAAGCCCTATTTGCATTACAGTTCGGGTATAAAAACATTAATAACATTTTAATCATTTTTGTGTGTGACGAAATATTTGATTTGCCGGTTGAATAGAATACGTACATACGTACGTATATGGACATGGATATCGTGATATTTTAAGTTTATTACGTAAGTACGTATTAGTTACACATACGTACGTACGTAGTACACAATGCGGGCATTATTTAATCACTAACCACCGAAATTATATAAGGAAAAAGATTTTTTTACTTATCAGATTTTCAAAAAAACAATTACAATGGGTGATAACTTATTAATTACAAACTTATTCTCTATAAAGGATAAAACAGCATTGATTACGGGTGGTGCGACAGGAATTGGCAAAATGATCGCGAAGGCATTTGTTAAAAATGGTGTTAAAGTTTATATCGCATCAAGGAATAAAAAAAATCTTGAAGAAAGTAATTATTATTAAGATACATTATTAAAAATTTTATAATTTAAATTAATTTTTTTCATAATTAAAATAATTTAATATTTTAAGCTGCCGAAGAGTTAACAAAAATGGGACCTGGAGTATGTTACGGTATCGAAGCGAATTTAAATTCTAAAGAATCATGTGAAAAACTTGCTGCAGATTTTAAAAAATTAGGAAATGAAAAACTTGATATTCTTGTGAATAATGCTGGTGTGGTGGGCTATGACGCTGCTATTACAGACTTTCCTGAAGAAGCGTGGGATGAAATATATAATCTACATGTTAAATGTGTTTTTTATTTGACAATTGCGTAAGAAATATTATAAATATTTATTATGATGTCATACACGAAGTATTACTAAAGTATTAAGTTTTTTTTCATGTAATAGCTGCTTACCATTGCTTGAAAGGGCTAGCGATAAGCAAATTGATCCATCAAGAGTGATTATAACTGGAAGCATTCTTGGTAGCTAACTTTTTAAAAAACAATTATTACTGTATTATTTTTTTTAATCTCGTGAAGCTAATTTTTTTTTGTATAATCAGGTATTGGCAATGGTGAACTCAAGTTTTTACAAAGCCGTGGAGGATGTGGCTTGCCTTATTCTTCTTCTAAACATGCTGTACATAGTGTTGCAAAAAATTTGGCTGTTCATCTTTCGTATATAATCATTTAAAACTTTTGTCGACTTTTAAAATTTGATTATTATTATTATTATTATTATTTTTAATTAAAATAATTTTTTTTTATTCCAAATAGCTCACGAGGAGTAAATGTTAATGTTCTTGCACCTGGAGTTGTTCCTGTAAAGGATGTATTTTTTAAACATATGGATTCCATTCTCACTGATATTCCTCAAGGTAGATAAAAATCGGTAGATCACCATTTTTTAATTGTCATTTAAATTAAAAACTTTCTTTTTATTTTTTTTTTAGGTCGTACTGGAAATGAAGAGGATCTTGCCGGTGCAGCAATATACTTATCCTCACGTGCTAGTAGTTGGGTAACTGGTACAGAAATTGTAGTTGATGGCGGAACTCTTTTAAACTTTAAATTATCAATTGCGTAGATCGAAATTTATAATTTTGATGTATAAACTTTAAAAATAGTTTTTTTTTTCTTTTATTCGTATTGTTTAAAGATTTACATTCGTCATGTATTCACATACGTATTAAAAGGTTTGTTACAAAATATTATAATGTTAACTTTTATTATCAAAAGTTGAGCGCTAATGACATACCCTTATTATAAAATCATTTGACAATACAAAGTTTCTTTCACAGATAGAGACTTATGCGTTAAAAATAAATAAAAAATCTCAGAACTCCAATATACTTCTTTTAACAATACGTAACAAAATAAATAATATACAATCATAATTTGTTCCATAATCCATGAAATCCATAAGGAACAACTTTTCCATGTTCCATTTCTGCTCTAGCAATTTCTTTAAAAGATTTAGCATCTAAAATTAATAAAAAACTAGTATTCTTTGTACCATCAAGTACTACACTTGTTATCACACCATCATCCTCTTCAACACCACTCGGTGATGGAACAAAAATTGGTTCACTAGGTATGCATCCAAATTGTTGCCAAATTTTATGATTAAATGAATCATTTTCAGTTCTATGGAGATCAATTTTTATGAGACGATCAAAGGCAATGTGAGGATTAGAACCTGAGTATGAGATGCCTAATTTATCACAAGAATCAAAAGTTATTCTTTTTTTGCACATGTAAAAAACTTAAAAGATACTTAAAAGTCTATACATGAATTTACCATAGACGTATCGATACTTTTTCATATAATATCTTGAAAAATTAACCACTGGAAGTTCAATATTCAAATCTTCTGAAGTCGCAAAAACAAGTTCGGCATTCGGAAAGTTATCACTACCATATTTCAAATCTGCGCTATCTAGATTTTTCGAAATATTGCATAATTTATACCTATGTACTCTACTCTGATCGAATTGCAAAGGTAATTTATCAGCATTAGTTTCAGATCCCGAAAGTCGATTAACTGTAAGTTGAAAGATGACACTATTATCTTTGTATTGAGATAAATCAATGATGATATCGTCTCCTTCATCATATGCGTTTATAGTATGGAAACAATAAAATGTTGGAAAGGTATAGGTGGCCACATGTTTTTTAAGGTTGCGATCAATTACGTAGAAGTGAGTCTTTTGATTGGGATCCCATGGGACAAATGATCGAATCATATTGCGCTCCCATAATATTTTCGCACCGTTCATTGCAAAATCACATTGCCTTTATATTTAAAAGGAATATTATTAGATAAATGCATACACAAACGGTGTCTAAACTAATTTTTGCGACATTATATACATTTAAATTTTCATTTTCAAAAAGTTATTAGTTTTAGACACCTATTTAGATTTCACATGTAATTTCGAATTTTAATTCAGAAAATCTACCACAGAAATTAATTACTATATACCGAGATTTTTAGAGGTGTTAATCAATTTCTATGGTATACGTATGAAGTTAAAGAAAATTTTTTAATAGATACCAAAGAATAAAAATAATATATTTCTTCGTCATAGAAAAGCTATGAATATATGCTAATTTTAATGGAATGGTAGCAAGAATAGTCGTAATAGGTTTTCCAGTTTCTTCATCAGTTTTGATAGAAAATATGTTATACTCAGGTATAGCACCTGGATTAGAAACAAAAGAAATATATTCTCCAGTTTCAGCATCATATTGATAGTGAGCTGGTGCCATAGGTCCAGATAAAGCTAGATGAAATTTTTTAAACGAAAAATTTTGTATTGGTTCAAGTGTGATCGGATCGATTGACTTTAAACTATTTGCATCTGTTCCTAAAACAAGTGTTGTAGAATTTCCTTCTGGATGAGGAAGAGCGGTGGTAAGAGTTACATTAACGTTTCTACTGTTTGGATCATCTTCCGGGTTGTTTGATGAAATAGATGCTTGAAAGACTGTAAAGAACTTTAGAAAAAAATCAAATATTATTAAGGTAATTTTCTAATTTACATTCTATAATTATATTTTATAAGATTTACCTTTTGAAATATATTTTCGCAAATATCTTGACCAAATGTAATCGCAATCTACCATTTTCTTCTATATATTTTTCATCCGAAGAAGCTACGTTTCTGCTTCTGTAAGTAACTACACCGTTTTTGATTTCAAAACGATGAACTATAATCAAATATATAAAATATAGATATAGAATATAATTATAAGTAATCAATTTAGAATATATATTATACATTCAGAGTAATGACTTTAGTGCATACCTTGACCAAGTCCATCAAACCAATGATCAAAAGAAAATACAATTTCCGGATTTTTCTTTGATGGGATTTTATAAGTTCCAGGGCCAGTACGATAAAGGACACCTTCTAACCATTTAGGTATTTTCCCATGGACTTTAAGCGTAGCTGGATCACAAGTCTCGGGACAATTTTGAAATCCTTATCGAACAATTATTAGTGAAAAAAAAACAACCAGAATATAGTAGAATTTGCAAACGATATCTTGCAATTGAATGTAAAAATACCTCGTGAATAAGGCCATGAATCCCTTTCTTGAGCAGAAGACATGATAGTTAAAATTATTGGAACAAATTACTGTCAAATATTATATTTTATACTATACGAAAAATTAATTTCTGTATATACTCTGTATATAAATTTAGACGAAAGAAATATTTTACCTAAAAAAATTTCCAAGCATTCATTTGGCAACATATATAAACCTTATAAGAGTTTATCATTATGACCTACTCTATATGTTCGTGTGTACGTACTGTACGTACGCGCGCTCATTGTTATCAGTTATACGCATGTACACGTACGTACGCAAAAAGGCCGATCGGACTTTCAATATATTTTGTGTACAGTTAACCATCTATGAAAAATTTATTATAGTGATAAATTTTCCATAGACGGTTAACTGTACACAATATGTATTAAAAGTACTGTCGGCCTTTTTCCCTTGGAAGCACAGCACTTACATACAGCACATGATTACAAATATTTAATTAGTAATAATTTATTCTTGTCAGTTTCCCAAATTCTAATACGTTATATTAGAAGTTGATCATTCCAAATTCATTGTTTGAAGAATTTGGAATAAACAGATTAGTGAAATAAGATGATCCAAATAAAGCTAAAATAATTCGATTATTGTTCGGACGATTTAAATAGTAATTATCACGATTGAATGCTGGAAATCGTCCTTAAATCTTAGCCTAACTATAAAAGGTCAAATTTCCTGCATCCAAATATTGTGCAATATTACATCAGCCAATAAAAATTGCAACGTTGCGAAAATCAACCTTCTTTCATCCATTTGAAAATTTTGCTGTATTACAATATTATGCCAAAATTATCTATTCTGTATAGTATATGTTGGTTTTAATCAAGCAATCATTTTTTTCAAATAAAGCATATCAGGCAAACATCATAGCTTTTTTAGTCCCGATATGGCACTGATTAATGGCTCGAATCGTGTCATTTCCAGGTTCATATTGGAACTGATAGAACTCTTTGGCAATTATCAGAAACCCAATAAATCTTATAATTTTACTGATAGCTCTCTATGAATCTGGAAATAACACGATTCGAGCCATTAATCAGCGCCATATCGGGACTAAAAAGGCTTTGATTTTTGCCCGATATGCTTTATTTCGACCAGTGAATATCAAAAATAAATTATACAAATAAATTATAATGCATAGTAATAGTGTTCTATCAAATAAATTTGTATTTGAAAAACTGATTTTTTATTTGACAGCTTCATTTCAATTAAAATATAGAAAAATAGATAAAAATTTTCTTCAGAGATGAATTGCATTGTATTATGATTTTTTTAGTGAGTTTGCTTTAAAGTTATTTTGCATTGATAGAGCTGTATGAGACCTGTCTAAACGCTTTATGTTACTTTTGCCTATCTTTGCTCTATGAACCCTTTGACCCTGTATCGCTTTTGATAATAAAATAATGTTTAATTAATGAAATTTCAATTATTAGCATTGATGATTTTGAACTTTCAGTAAATATTTATTTCAAATAATTACTATAAAAAAAACAATATAAAAAAAAAAGATCTATAAAATAAATAATCAACTATAATAGCTAAAATAATATTTTTTATTCTGCCACTCTATCATAATTAATATAATTAGTAAAGAGTTATTCCTTTGACTCTTTTTCAGTCAACTCAATTAATTTATTAATTTTATCTAGTGGTTCTTTTAATATCTCGTTTACTTGTTCTTTCAAAGTTTCATTCATTTTTGCAAATGCTTCATCAATTTTATTTTGCAAAGTTTTTTCAGTATCTTCAGTCTTAGCAATTTCTAGAATTTCTGAAGGCAAGCAGTTTTTATCTTCTACACTTTTTACATATTTTTTAAGCTCATTAACTGAAACTTTATAGTATCTAAATGTCCAAAATATAGATTAATATTTAGCATAGTGTTTAAGTTTTAGATATATAAATTTATTTACAAAATAGCTGGAAACCGGTTTTTCTTTCTTCTTTGATAAGGTAACATCCAAAAAAGTTCAATTTCAGTTAATATCTAATAATAAAGTATAGTAGTTATATATTTTTATCTTTTTTAAAAATTATAATTAAATAAATATTTTACCTCTGCTCTTAATTGTAAAAAAGATTCTTCATTATTTAATACTTCACTATGATCAGTTTATAAAATAAATCAATTATTTTATGGTATTTTTAAATGATAAAATAAT